CAACAAATTGATTTATTGTTGCCTGCTTGTGATTTCAGACTGGCTATAAATAAACTTATATCATCTGAATGGGAATCAAATTGGGACAATGCCGTTTTTAATAAACTTAACGATATCAATCCATCTCTTTATGTGTGACCATCTCTATCTCTGTCAAACCGCCATGATCAAATAGTTCTTCTTCGATGCCGAATTGGACACACTAAAATTACCCACTCTTATCTCCTCACGAATGACAATGCCCCTTTCTCTGTAGCTTGTAATGAAAAATTTACTGTCAAACATTTACTTCTTGTATGTCATGATTTTTCACAGGCCCGTAATAGATTTTATCGTGTAAACTCACTCAAAGAACTCTTTAATACAATTCCATAAAAAAACATTATTGATTATTTGAAATAGATGAACTTGTACTCTAGCATCTAGTTGACTCATTTTTGTTGTCATTTACAAAACATTACACAACATCTTAAGCCTATCATAACATTCGGCACGATATGTCGAGTTTTGTGTTGACGTGCCGTAAAAACCGAAACAAACAAACAAACAAACAAACAAACTAAAACGTCTGTTTATCGATCATGCCATTTTTATTTGCTTATAATGCACTGTTTATGATTTTTATTTAAATATTTCAGAATTATCAATGCAGTTTCAGTGTTATTTCTGTTCTTTTTCAACAGACAAATTTTTTAATTTAAATGGTAGATTTAATTTCCCATTTGGTTGAAAATTACACAATGGATGACATTTAGTTCAAGCGTGTTAATGAAGATGGCATTACAAGATAACGCCTGAACGTTGTCGGGAGTAGGGTAGAACCATCAACATTGAGGATCAAAATCTTTAAATACATGTCACAAGAAACTGTGATCAGGAAGATCTATCTCTAAATAGAAGAAAAACATATTTATATGACATTGATTACACGTTTTTACAGGGTAAATGTGATAAAGATATCCGCACACTTAGTAAAATATCAACAAATTTAACAAAAATAGTAACAAATTTCATGTGCAGACGGTGTGCCGTTGCTAGAATGCAGGTGCAAAATAACCTAAGTTACCTTTACATGGATTTTTGGCATAGAAGGAAGTGGATTGATATCAGATATTGGCACACTTGCTCATTACCGGCTAATATTGACAATCTTTAGGCAGCGTTAATGCAATTTTGTTATTGTTAATATTTAGATTAATAAATTCTGAAAAAAGTTGATCTTTCCATAGCAACGAGAACTTAATTTACTAACAAAATTTTTTCGACTCAGTTTTTACATGAGCAGGAAAGAAAATTTTATCGCCTATGGATTATTCGCAGATGTTTCCAGTTAAGTACCTCCGAACTCTGCATATTCTGCACATATAGCGTCAATCAGTATATACAATAAGAAATATTTAAGATTGAGTGTGGTAAAAAGTCTGTCTTTAAGATAATATTAGAAAGTCACCTTCCAAGGCCCATCAGACATTAATTTTGACTATAGCTCTTTGTTGGGCAAGTTTGTGATCAAATTGGTCAGTTTGTATGTACTACGGCCTGTTAACCTTGTTAATACAATAACATGATGAGAAGGAACAAGTCCTGGTTTATTTTATTTGTAAGGGACATTGCCAATGAACAGTAAATAGCCTATAAGGTAAAATCCTTGTCTGATGAATAATTTAGAAGAAAGATCATTGCACATGATCAGTAGATGACATCTAATAATTTCGAGGTCATTGGGTCAAAAATCAGGGTCACATTAACGCTAAATGTAAAATTATTGACAAGTCAATAAGTTGTATAAATGGCACTTTTACAGGCTGGTGAAGGAGGGGGATCCTTGTACTAGATATAGCACATGTCTAGTTAATAAGGGAAATTCACATAAATGGTGTAATATGATTGGTTATTTATCTCGTGGCCACGATTTAGTAATATTTATGAAATATCGTGGCCACGACTTTGTAACTCGTGGCCTCGACAAAGTGTCTCGTGGCCACGAGATAAATAAAAACACAGAATTGATTAGTGCTTACGAAATATTGGTATAATAATAGCATCAATTGTCACGATTATAACTTATTGCAATTTCCATGAAGAAATTTAGTTAATAAAGATATTTAAAATATAAATATAGCACAGTATTACCTGCCCATAAGGTCTGTCTAATGTTTTGCAACAAAAGTCGAAATTATTGGAAATACATTTTTAACTTCCTTTCTTTCCCAACAGACCGATCATGGACAGTTCAAAGTTACATAAAACGTTTAAATTTATTATAATGTACGGTGGTCTTACACAGAATTATAGTCATATGAAAATTCATAGGCTAATTTCTTTGTGCACTGTCACTTCAGTAACGAAATTTATCAGTTATATTTACCATTGCTTAGCTCAAATGGGTTTGGATCATATATATATAATTGTCAGATGTCAGTGTACCACCAAGTATTGCTTTGGGGTTGCTAGTCTGATCCTCGGTCGAGGCATTTCTGCGGGACATTTGACCTAGGACATTGAATCTAATGGTCATTTTTCTCTCACCGCTGATTCAGAAATTATATTAGATAAGTAGTCGTTCACTTACGGGGGAAATTGGTAATTACTGGTTCGTTATCCTGAATAGCCGGTTTACTGAAGCTATATGTTATATTTTTGGTCCCTGGTTGTGTACAGTTTTGATATTCAATTTTGCCGTCAGCCGACGTTTACAAGAAATGGTGCTCTTTGATTAATTTTTATTATGCCACCGCAGCATCTGCGATGCGGTGGCATATAGCGATTCATCTGTGTGTATGTGTGTGTGTGTGTGTTTGTGTGTGTGTTATATAGATTATATAGTGAACTTAAAAAGTCTTCTTGTGAAAAACCACTAGCCCAATTTCAACCAAACTTGGCAGGATTGGCTTCCAAAGTTGTTCAAAGAATTTCATTCCATGCAGAAATCTGGTGAATAAATTAAAAAAATCTTCTTGTAAAGACCCAAAAGGCCTAGAGCTTAGATATTTTGCATAAGGCATTGTCTGGTAGACCTCTAACAAGATTGTTCAAATTATAGCCCTGGGGTCAAAATTGGCCCTGCCCCGGGGGGTCATTGATTTTCACTAAGTACATATAGTAAAAACTTAAAATACGTTCTTGTAAAACCCAAAAGGCCTAGAGCTTAGATATTTTGCATAAGGCATCATCTGGTAGACCCTTACCAAGATTGTTCAAATTATAGCCCTTGGGTCAAAATCAACATTGCCCCATTGATTTTAGATGATATTATTTAACAAATATTGATTTTCGCTATATGTACATAAAATAAAAACTTAAAACACCTTCTTGTAAGGACCCAAAAGGCCTAGAGCTTAGATATTTTGCATAAGGCATTGTCTGGTAGACCTCTACCCAGATTGTTCAAATTATAGCCCTGGGGTCAAAATTGACCCCGCCCCAGGGGTCATTGGTTTTCCTTATATGTATATAGTAAAAACTTAAAAAAAAATCTTTTAGCAATTGACAAATGCTAGAGGTTAGATATTTTGCATGAAACATTGTGTTGTAAACCTCTAGCAAGATTGTTCAAATTATAGCCCTGGGGTCAAAATTGCCCCCGCCCTGGGGGTCATTGATTTCAATATATACATATAGTAAAAAATAAAAAAAAATCTTACTGTCTGAAGGTACAAGGCTTAGAGCTTTAATATTTGTTAAATAATATCATCTAAAAGCACTCTACCAAAGTTGTTCAAATTTTGCCTCTTGTGTCAAAATTAGCCCTGCCCCTGGGAGCCATAGGTTTATCTTATATGTATATACATGTAGTTAAAACTTAAAAAATCATCTTCTCTAAATTTACAAAGGAAAGAGTTAAGATATTTTGCATGAAACATTGTGTAGTGAACCTCTAGCAAGATTGTTCAAATTATAGCTCTTAGGTCAAAATATGTTCTGCCCCGGTGCCCCGGGGATCATTGATTTTCATTATGTACATAGAGTGAAAAAAAAATTTTGTGTCTGAAGGTTCAAGGCATAGAGCTTTGATGTTTGATATATAATATCATCTATAGGTCCTCTACCAAAGTTGTTCAAATGTCAAAAATTGGCCCTGCCCGGGGGCAGTGATTCTCATTATGTACACATAGTAAAAACAGAAAATAAAACAAACGTTTTCTGAATGGGAGAAAGCTATAGCTTAGATATTTGACTTGAAATGTTGTTTGGTGGACCTGTATCAAGATTGTTATTAAACTCTTGGGTCAAAATTATGCCTTGCCCAAGGGGACAGTGACCTACTTTCTTGTCCTTTGATGTACAGCAATGACATTTTGACCATGTACACAGTTTTAGTTATAAAATTGAACTTTGACCTAGATTTTGATGATGTGACCTACTTTCTTGTCCTTTGATGTACAGCTATGAAATTTGAACCATGCGGTGGCATAGCATTTTTCTCAAATGCAGTCTTGTTTCATTTATCGACGCTATAGTGGTTACGCTTGTGATGTTTGTGTGTTTTTTTTAATTTTACTTAAATTCTTGATTCTTTACCTAAGCTACGGATCCTACAGGATTTAAAATGCAAAAAAACTTCATTACGGCTAGTTATTTAAAACACTCAGCTACTTATTTATGTTTCCGTGAATGCGCCACACACATAGTTATAATCGAAATTTCATCAACATAATTCTTCCAGTATATTCATTTAGGTATGATATTCATTAATTTGCAAACAAAATATTCTGATACTTACAGATTGCCCACTATATCGTATTACCCCTTAACTATACAAGTGCATTTTTATAGTATCAGGTATTCATATATATATATATATATATATATATATATATATATATATATATATATATATATATATATATATATATATATATAATATATATATATATATATATATATATATTATATATATATATATATATATATATATATATATATTATCTTGCAGTCATTTAAGTCTGAACCACATCTTCATTTAAATAAATAAATAAAAACGAATACACATAATGGCTGACTTAAATTTATTGTCCAAATAGATTTTTGTATAACAAAAGGGGAATGTGATAGATATTGTCCATTAAAACATAAATGTTCTTAATAGAATCCTTTGAAATTATTATCTTTTTTATATTCTTGTCGAGATCATCGTTGATCCAATACTCGGAAACATTGGATCATGTATTTAACAATCAACTGATACAACGTCTTCCAAACACAGGCCAAGAGTTAGTATTTCCTTGTTTGATATGGTGGATATGTCGGAGATACGGGTGCCATCGGATTAACCTTGTATGATGGATTAATTGGTCTAACGGGTGCCATCGGATTAACATTGTATGATGTATTAATTGGTCTAACGGGTGCCATCGGATTAACGTTGTATGATGTATTAATTGGTCTAACGGGTACCATCGGATTAACGTTGTATGATGGATTAGTTGGTCTAACGGGTGCCATCGGATTAACGTTGTATGGTCTAACTGGAGGAACAGGATCGACTGGTATAGTTGGTAAGACTTGAGCACCGCCGTAAGAAGTTCTCCCAGTATTTATATCATTCGGTCCACAGTATCTCAATGTACATATGGAAGGCTGACAAATAAATAAAAGACATTGAGTTGTATAAATATAAACTTTATATCAGAACAGAACAAATAACATTCAATAAGAAGTGATATAAACACTTGTTAAACTGAAAAAATAGATGATTTTAATTATCGCATTCTGATATTTAAAACAAACAATGATCGTAAGGATTAAAAAAAAATAAGTATAAAAATAGTCCAAAATGAAAATCTTAAAAGTTGCCCAAAACAACAAGGTTGAGAATATTGCATGATTCGTTGATGTACATAGTCGGCATTGTTAAAGATATACTATGCTCATTTTTGAGTAAAATATTTTAATAACAGAAATTTATTGAAATCTATAAAATTGTTACTTAATGTGTCTAATTTGAAAAGAAAAGTTTGTCTTTTCTCAGTTTTTTTTAATGACAATATATATTCATATTTTGACCACTCAAACTGTGTGTAGAATTTTAAACATAACATATCTACTTTGTGTGAACCCAAAACATGTTTGTTTTATATTTACAAAGAGACTGTTGAGCAATTATCAGTATTTTCTAATATAAAATGTGAGCATAAATGTTATCTCGACGAAAACGGCGTTTCAGCTGAAATTTAGAAACTTTTACGGAGGAGCAATATAACATTGAGTATAAAGCCAGCCCAACTTGTACTGGTACTTGTCGACTGTAAAGGTTGGCCTTATGGTAATAAAATACCTCAAATGAATATTTCTCAGTTTAAAATTACGAGAAGTATAAATGTATTAAAGTAAAGAGCTGTATTATACAGATTATCAGGCAGTAAAAAGATGTAAACATACCACGCCAGCTTGTCCACAAATACACGTGTTACAGCCATCAAAATAATTCTGACCTGGTCGAATACGACGTCCCAAATAATCAGTGCAGCATGCTATAGAGACATAATATATATTACAACATAGTGTATTATAAAGGTATATTGAAGATCGAAACTGCTCATAAATACGATACAGAATTATCTTAAAATGCATCCAACTTTTAAAAAATATGAACTTAAATCCTGAAATACAAATGCAGGAAATAATCTTATTTCTAATGTTGAACTTAAATTATGTTTAATCTAATGCTGACATTGCAATAAGATTCACTATATGGTAACACTAAGATTCACTATATGGTGATATAATACTAAACTGAATATACAGCAGATTACGAACATGATTCAGAAACCCAACAAATTATTACGATTCTCGAATCCGTTCCTAGAACCAACCAGTACTAAGCAATGAATGTAAAGTTCAAGGAAACAACAAAGACAGCTTACTTACTTTGTTGGTTTCCACCGTACGTTCGTGTATGATATGCTGAAAATGAAAGTGGAATATCGATAATTAATTTGAATTTCGCTAGATCTTCACACAAATCATGTCCTTACTTTAGTTAAACATCTGGAAAAAAAGTGATCCCTCGGAAGCAATAAAACAGCAAAATTACATGAAAATTGCAGACTCGGTTTGATTGAGTCTGTACATGAGGGATAATGAAAATGTGCAACATCCCTCACGCACCCTAGCACCGGCGAGCGGTACTCAATTCTCTACATTTAAAAGCGCTAGACTCAATGATCCCGAATGTCCAGAAAAATGTAACAACACTGAAGTGAAGTACAATTATTAAGACTCAATTTCCTTATTTTCCACTTCTAATGCACCAGCGCTAATTATTGAACGACTTGAATAAAACAATATCAAGCCACCTCAATTTGAGCATCAACAACTACAATAAAAGTAAGAAATGAAGTTATACGAACGTAATGCAATTTTATCTAATACCCAAAAGTAAAAAGATTATTTAATATACTGAAACACGACTTTACGCTATCTTTGTGTAACGCACAGGGTACGCAATGTGATAAAATGGTTTCTCTTTAAATGCATACAAATGTACATGTAAATGGAATTTCATTAAATAAGAGATAAAATATGTATTTTTCCAGAGAAAGTGGAAGCAGCGTTTTACAGATACTCTCCGTCTGTTTGATCATAACTAATCAGAAAATTATAACGAACATAGCACAGAAACTGCAAGTTAACTTAAAATCATGTAATCAAACTAAAAATAAATATATAAAATAATATCTATAAACAGATAAACTCAAGAATCTCACTAGCATATGTTGATAACGAACATCCAAGCACGAAGCAGAAAACAAAAAATATGTTCATTTTGGAGTTGTAGATAGCAGATCTGCAGCTTAACTCTCCTGTAAGTAAAGTTGAACGTGAACGAAAAAATATTTATATCAATTTCTTCAAGGAAGTAGTTTATCTTATTCAACTTTCAAACGAAAATGTTATTGCATTTTCATTACAATGATGAAAGAAATAAAAGAAAATTTGGATGATAAGCAGCGATGTAAGAACATATGTTATTCTAATCACATGAAGTGTGACATCATGTCCTTGTCTTATACACTGTGTACTTTATGAAATAAACGTGTAATGTTACACTTATTTAAATAAATAATTCACTGATCTATGAAATTATTTTTATGCTGTCATGTTTTTTTCTGTGTTAAAACATACAATTTGGTCATGCAAGCTAGAAAAAAATGTAAACCTTACACTTCCTTATTATAATCATCTATTAAATGTTCTATTTCTGAACAATATATACAGATCGAGCATACTAGAAAAAAAAAATATTATAATATTATTCATACCGTATAAATTCCTTGTACCAAATTAAGTTTACAAGAATAACAATTATTTCATTTCAATAAACATATAATAATCATAATGGAAAATACATGACTATTTTGTTTATTATAATGACAATATTTACAAAATCGCATAGGTAAAGTCTTTATTTATTCTTTAATATTTTCAGTAAAAATATTTGGTATACCAAACTAAATAATTGTTTTTGTCTGTCTGTCTGTCGTCTGTCAGTCTGTCTGTCATACCTACAAAGAACATAAAAGCAATATGAAGCGATTATTAAAAACTATCTAGATTATTTCCTATAATAAGAGCACATGATTTATAAGTTTATATGTGCTACAGATTTACCTCCCTTTATTTTGTATATTTACACACCTATAAAAATATATTCACATATAAAAATTCTGTAACACTGAACATTTACCAGCAAAAGACACACTTGCTTCAAGGGACACTGGGGTATTTTTGACATGACAAGACTGGAAATAATTGTTTATGATTAATTATGATTAATGTTCATTTAGTATAGGTCGAGGCAAAACAATGTGTTATGTGTTAAGGCTTTTCTGTTCTGTTCTTGAAATATAAATAAGAAAATTCGGAGTTACAAATAACATGTTAACATGATGTTATAATGTAGAAACAAGAGCTTTAACGTAAATTGCCTGATTTTATTATGCTAACTTGGTAAAAAGGACCCACTTTCTTGAAAGGTATTGTCATTAAATTATTCTCTTTAGTGCCATTTGGTCGTTTTAAAAATCAAAACACATTATAGTCTTTGACGGTTTAAATCTAAAAAATGTCTGTACATTTATATCATAAACTGTAGCCAAATGGTTAACGCCGTTGATTTTAAACCACTTGCATATCACCGTTGTAGGTTTGAGCCACACAAGCGTCTTTGATTTCTTTATGTGAGAAAGCTATCAATCTAGCTTTCCAATGTCGCGTAATTATCGCAGTGTGGTGTGATTATTTAGCTGCGGAAATGAGTAACATCCAAAAACAATATAGGCAACCATTAATTAATATCTATACATCCATGATCCACACATCTGTTAACATAGCATAAGTCCTTAGAGCAGCAGTTATGCAACAAAACACTTGCAGGCTTATGAAGCATAAAGACAATCATCTCACTATTACTTGTATCATAAGCTATATTTGAAATGAAGAAGATTATGACAGTTCATACATAACCGCTATGTTATAGGAACTCCAATTATATTAAGAGTAATAGACTGCTCTTTCTCATTCCACCTTTTTTCACATTATTGTCAATATCTAACTTTATTTCTCTTTTCGGGACAACTGGATTTGGACACACAGTATTTTAGCTGTGTCAAATCTGAAGAACTGCCCAATTTGTTCAAATAAATACATTGTCATGCTGCATCAAGACCTTGACATTGCTTTTCTTTAGGTAAAAGATATCTTGGGGCATTTGTTTGAGTAAACATATTTTTACCTCCTCAGAGTTAATTTATTCTTTTCAGGCTATAACAACTGGCCCTATTGTACTTGCGCAAAAAGGCGGTATATGGATAACTGTTTTAAGGTTTAACTCAAATATAACTTCCACTGGAAGTAAGGAACGGCATTTTAGCTGAATTATCTATACGCCGTGGGATACTGTGGCCATGTCTTAATGACTGCAGGACAGTACTGGTAACCTATTGTATTGTTGTATTGTGCCGGTGTCGCGTTATTACAAAAGTGCCAAGCATGTTGAGACTGATACTTTCATGAAATTCTAAAATACAATATGCTCATAAAAAATGTCAAAATGTTATTGATAAATTACCTGATCCCACAGCACAAACACCAAACACATGGAACTTTGTTGTTCTAAAATATACTGCACCCACCTGTTGAGAATGATGGAGGGTAGTGCACTTGTTGGGCATAATCCCAAGGGTAGTGGTACTCTACACCAAGTGTGCATGTTGGAGTGTCTGAAATGTACATTAGTTAAATTTATACATTATGTATCATTGACATACAGTTTTAAAATGTTTATATAACAGATTTTCCTGAAGTCCTTAAGTTTTGCTAAAAAGGCTTCCTTTAATATACAGTATGTTATTTCTAGGGCTGTGACTTTTTTTTTAAATGTCATTCAAGTTCAAGCTTAGGTATTCATTAATGTGATTCTAAGTGTGGACAAACATATCGGTACTTATGTTTTTAAAAACTGCCTTTTTATTGTTTAATTATTATCTTTATGTTAGGTACATTTTTATTAAAAGATATATAATCAAAGATTAATAAGGAGAGCCCTTGAGAGCAATGAATAAATTATTGAAAGTGCTTATTGCAGACTTAGTGTTATCACATACTCGTGCCAATTATGTGGCTCCAAAAAAATGGTAAAATTAGTTACTTAGATATAGAGGAAACATGCATTTATTGTTGATAATAAAGTAACTAATAGATTGAAAATTACTGAACAAAGAAAACAAAAATAAATCAGACCTTCTCTGGGCCGTCTGGGGTTGATGGTTGTCCGCTTTTTTGTGGTCCCCAACCAGTAAGCGTTACACTAGATGGGTCAATAGAATAAAGAATGTATATTTGTGTAGGCTCATTACTTAATATGTTGAACTCGTTAAATAAAATAATATTTTGCTCGCATAATTTAACTGTATTCAACTGGTTCAATAAAATTAGTATTGAACCTTTACACTGAATCAATATCCTCCATTTATTAAGCCTGGTTATGAGAAATTATGGAAACTTCAACATCTCTATATTTTCAATTTCAAAGATCTGAATAATTAAAACAGCTCAAACAATGGAAGCAGAAATATATTAATGCATTTAAAATTGTATCCTACGGGGTGAGTTACATGAGGGCCTCAAGGAATGCATTAATCAGTAGTATTCGGAGACTTTATTTAACAAAATAGAGTAGAACATATACTTTAGATTACAATATACAAGTATAATGTAATAACATGTGAGCCAAGTCAGTAGACAAAATCAAATCAAATGGGTATGAACAAATGACAGTAATATTATGTAATGCAAATAATCTTTGAAGGTATTTTTGTTATATGGGTATTGCAGCAAATAGTTTTATCAAACTGTAAAAGCATAAGAAAAGAATTATAGAGATTCGCACGAAAATTTCCTTTTCTTGATTAATGTGTAATACAGCCGCGTGATTTTATTGGATAACGAAAATCATGATTTGCGTCGCATTGTTATTTCATTCATGATAAAAACGCAAACAAAAGTACAGAGCCATGACTGTCTGTACGTCATTGAGAAAAAAATACAATTTCCTCTTATCTTTTGACATGTTCAATCAAGTGTTTGACGACATATGCCAGATTTTTTAAAGTAGTTCCGAACGTACATGAAAGAAGAGCTTTAAATTTGACAATATTAGGCCTTTGATATAATCTTTTTGGGATAATCTTAATAATATTTTTAACAAAATTTATTCACTTATAACTATGATCAGACTGTATCATGTAAGTATAACACATATGTGATATTTTCGATTCATTTGACAAGATTAGCTTACTCCAAAATTTAACAATTCGAGATTTTATAGTAATATCTATGGAGTAACGTCCTAGCTCTGCGTACAACATGTATCGAGGAGTATTTTTTCTAGTCTTAGTTATTTTTCGTAGGAAATTAACACGAACTTGTTCAACCAGGTCTAAATTTTCATAACCCCAAATTTCACTTAGGTAAGGATAGGTAGAATAGTTTGATCAAAAAGATTAATCTGAAGATCAATAGGAAGGTTAAGGTTATTTATCCTCATATATAATTGGTGCAAGGCTTTATTTGCCTGAATGACAACATTTTTCCTGCAAAACAAAAAAAAACACTACCTGAAGCAGAAAATATAACACCTAAATATTTATAATCTTTCACTACCTCAACAACACGGTTATGTATGAAAAAGGAATATCTACTTTGTTTATTGGTGCCAAAACAATTACTTTAGTCTTAGAAAAATTTATATTGAGTTTCCATGTTTGGCAGTATTCGTAAAAATCATCTAGGCATAACTGAAATGAGTGTTCGTTTTCACCAAGGATAACGGTATCGTCAGAGTATAGCAAGCCCAGAATCTTTAAAAATCGGACCGCGTCATCTTCATGAAAATCAATTAAGATACCGTTATTAGGTCTTTCGAGAAAACGTTCCAGATCGTTTAAATAAATGGAAAAAAGTATGGGAGATAAATTTTCCTCTTGACGTACCCCCGAGAAGCTCGGGAAAAATGCTGATGTTTGGTTGTTTACTGACACAAAAGACTCATACTTTTAATGACGTTAAAAATGTTACGATTAAGACCAACACGCCATAATGAATCATAGGCCGAAGAAAAATCAATAAAAGAACAATATAACTTTTTCTTTTTAGAGCGCAATTTTTCTTTGGGAAAATGAAGGGCGAAAATATGATTATTTGTAGAGTATTTTGTTCAAAAACCAGCCTGATTTTCCTATAATAAATTACTGTCAGGTAAAAATTTGGTTATTCTTTCGTTTAGGACAGCTGTAAAAATCTTTCCTAGGCAACTAAGAATTGTAATGGGTTCGTAGTTTCCCGGATCAACAGGAAAGCCCTTATTTTTGAAAATAGGCTTAATGCAACATATCAACCAAGTATCTGGTAAAATAACCGAATCAAGAATAACGTTAAACAGTGAACAATATATTGGGACCATTAAAGTTCGAGTAGACTTAAAATATTCAAGACGTTAAATCAAAATGCGAGACAGCTTTACCATTGTTAGACTTTATAATATCTTTATTTATTTCTGTTTCGGTAATTGGTCTTTGAAGATAAGCTAGGTAACTAAATGTATTTTGAAAATTTAAATAATCTTCTCCGTCTCTATCATCATATTTGGACGAATTAGAAGTTTTAAAAAAGTCAAAGAATTCTGAAATGCTCGGTGTTTTCTCCGATTTAGCTTGTGAAATCCTATTAAGAAACCTCCAGTAATCCTTCGGCTTATTCGAACACATCGCACGCAATTTTCGTTCATTGTGATGGTTATTTAGATACGTATTCATAGTCTTTTTATAGTAACTACTAGCCGTTTTCAATTTCGCTTTATTTATGTTATTATTGTGCAATTGATATGTTTCACGAGCAGTATTACATGTATATTTATGACGTGCTTTTCAAAGTGAGGCCCGTACCGTGGACATTTTCCGTTTTGAGAGATAGGTTTGGATGAGGGTATGTTTTTGTGAGTTGGGAAATTTAAAATTGCAGACAAGGAAAAACGTCAGAAATTTGTTGATTTATATCATAATATAAGACTTAACATCACATTCAGGCCTAGTATCGAGCGCTGTTTTGATTTCATTAACCCGTTGGATATTTTAATGATTAACAAATGCTTCTTTCATATTTTCATTCCATTTTGGGGGTTTAGAAGGAAGCTGACACTGTACAGAATATTGTTCCTGTAAGGGTTCTTTAGGACAATCTGGGGTGGAAACTGTCATAGAGAGGAGTGAGTTGCCATCTGAGAATAAAGAATCTACTTCCAAAACATCAGAATTAGATACTAAAGGGAATAAATTTAGTGAACATAAGGATTGTTTACCAATAATCGAACTCTTCCTGAATGTCAATTTACCTATAGACTTATCATTTCCAACTCTACCGTTCATAATGTTAATTCTATTATTTTTACATATATCTAGTATTTTTCGTCCCGTTTTATTACTTTTTTTACACTGCAACGTACGATTTCGCGGAATATCAAAATTTTGAAAACTATCAATTTCATTTGATGAGCAAAGCGTTTCTTCATCAAAATGTAAGAAATGCGACAAAAGTCATCGAACTCGACAACATCGGAGACTTTATTTAACAAAACAGAGAAAAGTTAGATGTATGGGCATTCGCATCACCAGTGATCAACAAATAATCTCATTGGCTACGTTTAACAGATATATTATTTTCGAGCTCAAAAATTCGTCTTCATTAAAAAATCTAGAATGCTCTGACGGTATATACATTGACCTGATTCTGAATAAAGTAACTAATTTTTATCCAAAAAATATACTCGCAGTTACATTCTAATATACTGAATTCATTCTTTAATAGATTATTTACTAAAAATCCAATACCACCAGATTTGCGTTTAAATTTTTCTGATCTTGGTTATGACAAAAAAATAAATAATTTGGTATGTCAATTACATCATATTCACCAACTTAAGTCTCTGATAAACACAATATTGAAAATACCAATTTATCAAATTCTGGCTAGTTAGTTCTAGTTTTTAATCCACATACGTTTAAGCTACCTATTTTTAAGCTCATATTCGAATCTTTGAAATCAAAATCCTGCAAAATATCCAATTTCATATCTTGTTGATTAATAGTACATGCATTCAGGTTGTGGTCGACTTGTATATTCATATAAATGATTTGATAAATATTCGAGGTATCACTACCACTTATATAAAAATTTGAATTGACACAATTTTTTCACTGATATTCAAATCCACATTGAATAGATAATTATTATCAAAATTTACACCCGTAAAATCCACATTATAGTTTTGACTAACATACAATTTTCGCCGCCGTTTATGTCAGGAAGAAAACTGGCACTAATATTTTCACTAGGTTTTAAATCCACAGTGTATTCTTTAGTATAGTTCACATTTCCACTTGTTAAGCTCCCGCGGCTATTAAAGGAACTTTTATTCATATAATTACTCTGTTTAGATTTTAGATGTTTACAATCAACATAGGTAGAACAACTTGGTAGATTGATACATTCGTCACAAAGGTATACAATACCCGCACCTCGCTATTTATCTTTGTCCGTCGGTGAAGGCCCGTCCTCGATACGATTATTTGTATCGAGCTGATTGAGTGGTGGGTGCACATTCAACAGATAACCCTCTTGTGAAGAGGCCTTGGGTTCTCCAGTGTATAAAACGTCGTTACGACGATGGTTGTCTTGGCTTGATGTGGTCGAATCTATATTGGCTTTGCCACCCGTCACCACATTGGACTCCAGTTCGCTGTCGCTAGGGTTCCCCTCCATGATATCAGGTTCATGAGAAAAGGAGCTTGCAAGTGAGACCTCGACAGTTCGCTTGAATTTCTCTTGAATTCGTTCCATGATATTTGAATTGCAAGAACCTCGTAAAATTTCATGCCAATCGGGGTAAAGATATTTAACAGTTTTTCCATTGATACAAGTGCAGCTGGAAATTTCAATTTAACGTTTTGTTTGCCATATTTACCCCTAGCATTTTTAAAGTCCGGCCAAAGCTCTTGACGTGGTTCACTTATTTCCCTGGGGTAATCACGAGATATACCATATGTTGAATTTTTAAGAAGGTATGCCTTGTCCATGATAATGTCTGTGACAAAAAGATCACTGAACGATACTAGTATTGCCCGGTGAAAAGGTCTGGCTCCTACATCTGCCTCTTACCCACTCGAAACGCCTTTGTAAATATCTATTTGTAGGTTATTTTTTAGTAAGTTACTGACAATAGACATGCAGTCGTCGTCCAGACATCATTTCTAAGTGGCCTGTCAACAGTAAGTTATTTTTCAACATTTGGGCCTCATGGTCGATGCTTTTGTATTCGAGTATACGTATTCTGTCCTCGTTTACATCTTGGACTGCAGACGAATAGTACAAAATTTCTATTTATCAAGTCAAATTTTTTAGTTATTGATCCAAAATTTACCATCATGTCAAAAATACTGGTCATTTTTTTCATCCATAGACATACTTACAAATTGTTCTTTAGTTGGGTGAATAGATGCCTGTTCAGCATGCGGGTGGGGTATGTCCGATGATGACGTGGCTCTGGACGAGCGGCGAACTCTCTTTCTTGCATTTTGTAGTACAAAATCCTCGCCCAGTGGAGCGTATTTCCCTGATATTTACCAGAAAACATTTCCAAGCAAAACAATACTCCAATTTTTAATTCAATAAAGGAAGAGCACATTTTTTTCCCCAAATTTTTAGATGGAGGAAAACCAAAACATGACCACCATTGTCCATTACCTATAATTCATCCTAACGAGAGAACTCATTTGAACAACATATCAATCTTTCATGAGGCCCTCAAGTTCACTTAACTCGTAATTTTTTCTGTGAAAGGATTTATCTGTTTACAAATACGGCACTTTCTACCTTTTGCGGGACATTTATTGGTCGTTGCCTCACGTGACCTTTTTTCTGATTTCTGATTGGCAGCATGGTGTCTTGTTCGGCCGCGATTTCGATGGGTGTTGCCTCTCCCAGATATGGTGACATTTTGTTTTGAAGATTTACTCACTTGTTGTACTCCACTTTGAGAATTATTTCTCGGTTTCTTCCATTTTCTTACTGTTCCTAACATAAGAATGTCATCGAGGTTTTTGTCCCGTTCCTTTAATTCTCGCCATCTTAAGTGGATTTAGAACAGTGTTGAATAAGTTGTTGAAGAATTTCATTCTGTATTTGCAAATTCACAATTTTTAATAAAGTTCTAAGTTCAGTCACATATCCGTCCAAAGTTTGATGTTCATCTTGTTTACATGATCGGAATAATAAATTTCCATTTGCTTGTACTTTTAAGAGTTCTTTCACAGTAAAATTTTTTCGACTTCTTGCTTTTGAACTTGTCCATTCTCTTTTTGATTTTATTATTGACTTATTAACAGAAATACCAGCATACCAAATAGACACATAAGAGAAAGTGCAGAAGAACCTAACAAGAGTGGTTGTATATCTTAGATATAAACAGTAAAGAAACGATCTTTTGAAATCCTAAAAATCGAATGCCAGTTTCCACAAAAACAGGCTTTCAGTTTACAATACGCAATAAATACTTCGCACCTTTGGCGCTGTATGAATACGAGCGCATTTGAATATGAGTTTGAATGTACAATGGATGTTTTGAAAGGATATCGATATTTTGATGATTATTTCGAGTTTCTCTAAATGTGCGAACTAAATGTTACCTATATTGAATGACAAACTACATGTACGTGTATCATCAAAGGTTTTAAGTTTACTAAACTTGGCAGTAGAAAAGAATAAAATAAGACTTTACTGTTAAATCTTTTAGCAAGTACTTAGAGTGTACGGGTATATACATAAGTAATAGGTTTATATTCTTCTTTACTCATTTCCGCTGCTTAAATATAGGTATTTGACATAAGACATAGGGAAGTTTAGAAAAGATCAGTATACAAACATGTACAGGATTTAAATGGAGTCAAAACGGAATTTCAAGTGAAAAAGGATTTAAAAGTGAAACGCCTAATAATAATTAGGTAAAACATTTATTAGTTTTTTTTTAGATAAGAATTGAATATACCTTATATTAAACTTAATGAATACTTAAAAGCTTAGTGTTTTTTTGAAGAAGTACATATGAATGAATAATATAACCGGGATGAATAATTTTTCATGAAAAATGAAAATTAATTTTAAAAGTTTTTTTTATATATATATATTTAATATATTAATCGTTTACAAATGATAAATTGTACACGTTGAGAAACTTTAAAAGCTTTTAACAAAATAGAACATCAATATTCAAATAAACAATGAGTGTTCAAACTTAGTCAAAGTATCATAAAAGTAAAACTAAATGTATCGGCTATGATTACCAACTGAATACAATTTGATAATAAAACACAGAGTGGTATGCGTATATTACAACCATTGTCATGGAGAATGTTTTAGAATTCTTCTCCTTTATGAACTACTATTGAAAAATTCATAAGAATTTAAAGGGGTAAAGTTTATGTTAAAACCACTTTCGGAAATAAATTGTGAATGCAGATACACAATTTTAATATTTATCTGATTATTATTATTAATAATAATAACGAAGTTTGTAGAAATATCTTTGAAATTTTGATACAGATAACAAAAAAGGGAAGGCAAAGGGAGGACAAGAAGTGTTAGAAAAAAGATAACCAATATATAATCATAAATCTTTGGAATATTTTTTTTAAATATAATGACATTGTCGCCGAATGATAAGAATATGTTTCCATAGAGTGAAAGCGTCTCATAATCGTAAAAATTGATGGTGATAAAGTACTGATAAGTTAGGTGCTTGATACAGACTGCTTATTAACTAATTTAACTTTTCAAATTTGTTATGGTAAAATGCGTTATTGATTACTAGTATAGTCAATTATACATTTATTTGTCTGTTGAATACGTTGTTGAAAATGTTTTCATACAAAACTGGTCTTCTACTTATTACCCGGTATTGTGAAACTAAAAAGGTTTGTGATATGCATGTTGATAATAATAGTTAAAATAGTCTGCCTTTATGTTTTTTCTAAATGAGATTGATCTTTCAGTAATGGAACAATAGTCAAACTATTATAAACCAAAGAGCGATTGGTTATAAGTTTTTGAAGCGTTTGCTTGTACATTAAAATATTGTTATTAAATGGGGATCGAATTACCAATATATGACAAATGGTATTGCATTTCATATTTGATATTCATAGAGTAGGGTAAATTGAAATACAAAGATTCATAAAAAAATATCGATATTCCTAAAAGATATTGGGACTCATGCCAAAAAATAAACACATAATTTATGTCTGTACTACAACGCTTTATTTATCAAGGTAGAATATAATATGATTGATTATATCTTATTCGTCAGCATTAGAATTAAATAAATGTAAATTGGTCAATGTTGATTTTGTTAAAATGCTTGATAAAAATAAGTGGTTTAAACACTTAATATTTAAAAATATTACATTTGCATAATATCAAATATAAAAAAAATGTATGAGTATCTCTTTAAAGTATATTATGACTTTGCATGAGTTGCAAAGTCACATAGTGCAGTCATTGCAAAATTAAGCAATTATAGATCATATGATGAAAAGATGACGATTTACACTCACCTGTATTGCTCTGTGCCAATAAGTAACCAAAATGTAGTTTAAACATCATGTTTAAACATCATAAATTCCGCAGATCAGTGGAACTTTATTCGCATATATGTCGGAATTTTCATAATATTTTCTGATATGTTTGTTTTATGCTTTTGCGAACAAAACTAGATTCGCATGCTTTCCAAAGTAAGTCTTTCTCTAATATAGTGGGTATTTGAATAATTAAAACTTGGTACACATACATCATAATATTAATGTTATTGGCATCATGAAGCGGAAGCGGTATTGCAAATCGTTAAAAGATTGTCTTTATCTTTAATTCAGTGAAGAATAGTTCAAATAACCGGGCACTCAATTATCCGGTTCTATCCTCCACAGATTCATGCAAATAAAATGAAAATTTAAATCTTAGAAGTAATATGTATTGTAAAAAAACACGTTTTTAAGAGATAGCGGAACCGGAAATCTACTTCTTACGTGTGTTGCCTTTTGATTGGTCATTTTGAGGCAGATTGCGTGCGCATATGTTGACAGATGATGTAATAGAAATCGCTATTTTAAAACGAGTTATACCCTAATATAGCAGTACACGAATATATATCAGCAAACAAATATGCCATGTACATGTACCACTCCTCTAAAATTGAATTTCATTGTCAATAAAAAGAATAAGTGAACATATATTTCATATAAGATTTGATGGTTTGAAAACATTGATAAGTTTAAAATATTATAAAAGACGATAAAATTAATTTGCGCACCAAGACAGTTTTGGTCATATATCGCCGAAACAGAAAAGATGATTTTGGCTAATATCGGGTGTTACAACTATAGCAACACTCGGGGTCAAAACCACCTCACCTGCAGGAAAAGCTAAAAGACTCCATAAGGACTGTTTATATATATAATTGTATATGTATTTGTCATTTGACACAGTGTCTTTACGCAACGTATGGTTAAAAAAATTAAGTACTGGTGCTGGTACTTAATTACTTTTGAAATAAAAAGTATTGGAACTGCAGTGATGAAACAAAATCTTGTACTGGTACTGCCTATGTAGGTAAGTGCTGCTTAAGGTACATAATTACTTTACCCCTAGTACTGATGCATCCCAAGTTTAAAAAGACATTCCAGTAATTATTCTATTAAGTGGGGACGTGGCCGAGTGGTTAACGTAAGGATCGCTGGCTGCATGACTTCAAATCCCGTCAGGGCCAAGCCATTTTAGTAAGAAACTTTACATTAGTTATTTAATTAGTCATAAGAAAAATCATCTCGCCGGAAAGGTTTGAGCATGCATATAGACGTATAGAATTGGATGGTTGTTTTGATTTATATATCATGCTTTCCGGGACAATAAAAACAAATTTGACATATAAGATATCGTATTACTGCCTGCTTATTGATTCATAATTTTTGGAATCCCATATTGTCTCCGCGAACTACGGAAGCGTGTAAGTGCCTAATTGACACTATACTTTATTTTGAACGAAAATAAAATAAAAATACACTCTTTTTAATTTTACTTCTGTACATTTTACACATTAAAGTATTACCATTACGCTATAAACTATATCATAACAATTTAATCTATAAATTGAATTTTATTATATACATAGTATATGAATCTTTTGTCGTAAGATATTTACTTTTCTTATAAATTGTACTCTTTTACTGGTCAGTTCTAAAAATGAAACTTTGAACAGTTCGCTTTAAACCTACTTGTACTCGTATATATGTATAAGTTCAAGCGTAAAATTTACTCAATGAACAATAACATCGCTTTCCTATAAATACATGTATTTATTAATTGATTTGTCAGTTTTGAACTATTGTTGTCAGTTTTGTTGTTCTAGAAACAACATCATACTATTATAAAATATTCTTAGATACATGAAGGCTAAATTCACATACGTAATTTGAACCTTGCAACAGATCGTCATAGTATTATCGAAGAAAATGGACGCTTTATGCACTTTGTAATTCAAATAATATAGAGATCGAATTTCAAATTGTTTTAGTTTGCCCTTTTTGTTATGAAAACAGAAGAAAATTCCAAGATTTAGTCATTCCAATCCAAATATGTTTAAATTTATAGAACTCAAAGAGTTAGAAGATTCTACATAACCTTGCACTTTTTGTATTAACTCATTTAGATGAGAACAGATCTTGGAATGATTTACTAAAGTATACAAAGTCTGACGTTTTTTTAAATTCAGATCACTCTCAATTATCCAGTCTACATACTACTGTTACAATGTATATTCTTACTAAGTATGATTTATGTCATTATAATAATTTATATAAGTCTCATTTATTTACATGTACATGTACATGTCATAAAAGGATATACAACATAAAACAAATATAAAAGCATTTAATAGCCATTCTATGTAGAACCTTATAAAACATATGGCTACTTTACATGACAATTTACATTAATCTGTACAATTTACATTCTATACTATAATTTTTACTTTAATGTGTTTTATTTGTGATAGATTTCTTATTTGTAATAGATTGTAAGGCTATCGACTAGAAATGTAAATACATGTAACATGTAATACAAGGCAACAAACTAAGACAATATAAACAATTGAAGAAATAATATACAACAGAACACTATGTACAGTCAAAAATAATAAAAAGACATTATAGGTGCGTATTATCCTTTAGATGTAGAGTTACTCCTCTAAAAATTGAGACTTGTCGTTACGAAGCTATACCAGTTAATCAGAGAATATGTTTTAATTGTAGTAATAACATTGAAGATGAGCTACATGTCCTTGTTAAATGTCCACTTTATTCGCAAATAAGAGATCCGCTTTATATCGACATATGTAAGACTAATGACAGATTCCTAATGTATAGTGATAATGACAAATTCATATATTTGCAATCAAATGAAATATTGTAAAATATTCTGCCAAAGCCTGCTTTCATATATTATGTGCGAGAGGCAAGTTATTAATATTTTCATATTGTTTTAAATGGGTTTTCTTATTTATAATCATATTCTTAGTCTCTTATAACCCTTTAAGAGTGGTTTTGTACATGTTTTTCTTTTATAACTTTGTTATATTTGTTAATGTATGTACAAAGGTGAGAGTTAGATAAACAAATTATCCAGTCTTGTCTTGCCTTGTATTGATGAGAATAGTATTAAATTGAAAACAAATTATTTATACAATGTTTACCATAAAGATCCACAAAATACATTGTATTATAATAGACATATTTATAAATATTGGAATGCTAGAAAAATATCAGTATATGAACATATCAATTATTCTTTCTATCATGCAAACCTTTTGCGAAGTAAATATACTTTGATAATCTATTAAAAATCCCATACTTAAATATTTTCATAATATATATATTTATTTCATGGAGGCTAAAAAACAAAAAAAAACCCTGTCTATATGAGGTTAAAGGTTAAGTCTATGTGCTGAGCATCTAAAACGTGATATAGCTATTATAAGCTTTAAAATGTTAACACAAGAAAGATATTTTTCAAATTTAAAATCATCTTTCATAATCTTATTCGTCGCTAATTTTGTTGAGTTACCAATTTTCTTAACAATTTAGTAATTACAGTATCAGGCTGTTTAACTATTTACCAGCGTAATACAAGATAATAACAAGATACATAATATTCAAAGGTACCCTTCCAAATTCACCATACTTATACAGCAGCACTTGCTGTCTAACACCCAGTTGTTGCTTTGAAAACACTTTTTGAACATTTGAACATGTAATATGCCTGGTGCATTATGCAAATACCATACTTCAGAAATAAAACTGAGAATAAACAAAATCTGAATAGACGGATTTACAACTGTAAATTTAAAGTTTAAAAAAATGTAAATATTACAGTTTGAAAATGTAATTCTTAAAATCTAAAAGTGTAAAAATTAACAGCTTAAGTTGATAGTTGAAGTGTAAGTTTCACACTTTAAATTGTAAATTTTACAGAATTAGATGTTAAATTTATATATTAAAGTAGATATTTTACAGATTTATAGGCTAAACGTTACACGCTAAAATGTAAAAAATTACAGAAAAAAGTATACATTTTACGAACTATAGAACAAAATAAAGCACCGTGTGGCAATTATACGCTTCCGTAGCATACAAACTGTTGAAATTTTGAAAGTAAATCGAAGATTTAAATAAAAATGGGTATGTTAAGTTTTTATGTTAAGTTTTTATTGTAATAACATCATTTTTATTATTATCTTACTTAAAGTTACTATACATCAGTTTCTAACATACATTTCACGTTTCTTTAGTACCATGTGAGAAATGTTCCATCGAGTGGGTGGGGCATTGTTCAAATCGAAGTACGTTTTAAAAAAATACTGTATGTATCTTTTGTATCATTGCTCGTTTATACATTTAGCTAAGATGTTTCACGAAGGTGGCTTGCTTCCATCTTATTTCCTGGTATGATTAAGTTTTAGAAACAATGTTTGGAAAAATATCATATTTTGATTCTAAATTGTGGTCATTGGGCTTTCTTTTTGCTTGATCTGTCCCTGAAATATAATGAAACAATTCCAAGGCTTAAGGTATTGTTTCTCTTTGGATACAGCATTCGTTCATCTATCTGAATATATAATGTTACACATGGATCAAGGTAATCTGGTTGAAATAGTGTTGTTGGATTTAAAAAGGAAATTAAAGACAATGACACGACATCGTGATTTGGTGTCTGGTAAAAAAAGGTCAGTTAAGAAAATAGTTGAGTTAGAAATGGAGGTCCATAGTCAGTACTTAGAATGTAATAAGATATCCCTACATCTTGGTAAAACAGAATCTGACCTACTTGGATAAAGACAAAGGAATGTCTATTGTAATGGTCTTGCCACACTTAAAATACTTAGGTGCTCGATAGACCAGTTTGATTTATGATATAATGACAATAATGTTTATAAAAACATAATAATTATATGTTACAGTTAATGTAGTGGAAAAAGGATTTTTCTTATTTCTACACAATGAGACTATAAATGTTTTAGGGTGATGTCATTATACTTCTCCTGTATAGTTTTATATATACATGTAGTTTGACAATAAGTTACAAGCTACCCAAAACCAGCCTATTAGGTTTGTGTTACATATGGAAACTAGATTTCATATTGACCTGTTTGATAATTTTAATTGGTGTTGGCTTGTACAGTTAGGAAGAACAAGTCTCATAAATCCAAAGAAGTAAGGTTTCTTGCTGTATGGAAAAGAAAACAACAACTTTAAACAATCAGGTAATGTTCACAGTAAGAGTATCTTCAAATTCATTCAGTGATTATTTTACTGATACTGGGATATTTTTGCTAGATTAAGGAAATTGTTCTAAAATATTTTCAGTACACTTTTGGATGTAGTACCATAATACGTCAAGGATTTAAAACATCATGACCTCTTAGATCAAACCTGTTTGTCAGTCTATATAATTTTGTTGATTTCAGTATCTGGCATCATTGTTATAAAAGTTCCTCTTGCAACATTTTTATTCCCAATGTTGTGTTGCTTATCTATTTTCAAACAGATATCATTTTTCAAAATTTGTATGTTCTGTATAAATATTGTCTGTTTGTGTTTAACTACCAACCTAAATATAGCTATATACATGTATTGACCATTTTAATTTGTATTACTTGTATGGAAGAGGAACGCAAGTTCAATTCCTTATTGTGAATATTTCTGAACTGTCCTTACAATACTCTATTTCATAATAATAGAAACTATTTACAAGAGATAAATCCACTATTTGGTATACTTTGATTCAAGCTCAAACTGATGAGTAAGGAATTTTTCAAACATTTGTTTTTTCTCTGAAAATAAAAAAAGAACAATCCAGTCATCATAGAAGTAATGGCTTTTTTTTACATTATAACAAAAATGATAATTACATGCCTATGTAAAGCTGTGGTTCACTATAAAAAATAAATATGCTTCAGGAAGGATAATTGTCATATTTTGATAAATTTAACATTATATCATTTCTGGACTTCTAAAAAAGAAATTGGATAATGGACGTTTTGAAATATATATAGTTTCAGTCTCTGATTATGCATGCAATAAACTTAAATGTTTTCTTTCTTGACCGTGAGGTTTTATTGGTTAATAAATGTTACATAGGGTTTCTAAATTTCAACATATACATCAATCCAAGACTCAAACTTCATTTTCTTCTTTTGTCTCTAAACTTTTAAATACAATCATCATGAAGTTTTATGTATTGGAGCCAGATCGTTTTAAAATGTATTCATTGTCAAATTCATTTACATATTTTTGAACAAGCATGATGCATAAATTGAATACAGAGGGAACAACATAAAACTAGTTGTAGATTGTTTAATTCTTGGTGCAAGGGAACATTTTCTACACAATGTAGCTTTGGTTTTGCTTGTCAAAAATTATGAAGTTATGAATGACCTTGTCATATCTTGTTGCGGAAGTTAAATAACCCTATGATAGAACTGATTTAATTTTGTTTTATAAATAATTTTCTTATGTGCATCTTTTATATTATATACTCGGTTTGATTGAGTCTGTACATGAGGGATTATGAATACGTTCAACATCCCTCACGCCCCCTGGCACCCAAACCATTTTAAAATTTTGTAGATCATAAAGTTTTTAATAAGATTGTGTCCGGAAAACTTTGCTTATCTATATTAGTTGATTTGAGGTTCTGGCATATTCAAGTTGCTGTCTTGCTTTAAGCAATTTCAGTTTATATTTCTTTTCTTTTAGCAAATACCATCGCTTTATATAAAAAACTAGCTTATACTTATAGCGTCTGGGAGAGACTTTTAAGTATAATTTTTGTCTGTCTAGTTCTTTTGTGACTTGAAATTTTTATGCGTAGTTGTTAATCTTGGGAGCAGATACATTTTACCATGCATAGCATATTCTGATAGGTACAAACTATACCAATCTCTATGCAGATGGACTGTTTAAATAATTCTATAAGTCATTAAGTCATATTCCTAACCATTATGGTTACAGTTTTCTGATTTGTCTTAAATATTCAAATTATTCGATGTTTTTGATCCCATGCACTGATTTATAAAGCGTTTGCTCCTATCAGCTTGTAAGCGCTAATGAGGATAAGGCACACTCACATGGGTTCGGATTTTTTGTCAAATAATTTGCTTCATTTCCAGTTCATGATACTTTGGAAGACCATCCTTTATTCCATACACAATTTAATAAGTTTGTATAAGCTACCCTGCGAGTCAAATAAATGTGAGTCTAAAAACATACAAATAGGTGTGGAGAAGAATATAGACCTTCCGCTTATATATTAAGAAACTGCATACACTCCATTTTTGTATTTCCAAGTTCTTACATATACATGTATAAGAGATACATTCCTCATTTCAGCTGAAGGTGGAAACGGTCAAAATGATAGCGGAAGTGCACTGCCATCATCAAATGTGGAGAATAGTGATTGTAAGTAATATTAATGCTTTATCCCATTTTACTAGCGATAAAATTAAATTCACTTATATGAATTATTTCTACGATCCTCTGACAATAATAATTTCTTACCTGTTTATGCAAATTCATCTCACAATAATATACTGCCGTTGTAACCATGCCCCGGTCAATGTTCTTTCGAAAAATTATCTCCCTATGTATAAATGACTGACTCCCTCTGAAGACAAATGACCCCTATAATGTAAACACAATACAGTGAAGATCATTTTAATAATTTAAAAGAATATTTCCAACAAAATTTCTTACCCACAGACTAGAGTAGTGTTATTTGTTTTATGGCATCTGCAGCATGGAGTTATTTTAAATGTACATTTTTATAATTCAACAATAGTGCACTAGATTTGAACAACACACGTGATTAACACCAGCCATTCGTGAATGTATCAACATTGATAAGGGTAATGTTTAAAGTTTTTATTTAAATTTATTTCAAGGAGTTCTAACTGAGGGTTTTACATTTTGTTTTGTTTTAAAGAAAATTATTTTAAAATATCTGAACCATTTAAGTGCTATAAAGGGTCACAGGTTCTGTGTTTGGGACAGTGCTCCCATTATTGTGTGTCCCTTTACCTTAATACAAGGTCAGTCCGTATTGTTCCCCTTTAAAAAAGAAGAATGAAACTTAAGTTTGCAACAATCACCCAATATCTTCCCATAGTAGTCTCTTAGATTTACGACAAAGTTGTGTATAATAAGGTTAAAGATTTTCTTAATTACAATGACCTATTATGCAAGTATCAGTTTGGTTTTAGACTAGCTTTCGACACTAATACATATCCTGTTCATTGTCAGATTTTAATGGTGATATTCTTGTCGGTATTTTCTTGTTGGATCTTATAAAGGCATTAGATACTGAAAATCATAGTATACTTTTAATGAAAATGAATGCTTAAGGTCAAAGTTGGACCCTAATATGTTTAAGGTGTCGGTTGAACGCCAATTTTTAAAGTCAAGTTTATAATAGTTTTTAATTAGGTATTTGGTATCATATGTATATTATGCATTCCACATATATTGACAATTTTTCACCTTTGAAGTAAAAATATTTTTCAATTATAGTTATAATTAAGAACTTGTGAAACTATTTGATATTACATAATTGAATAATCTCTTAATAAATCATTAATGTATGTGCATATTAATATCTTTTATATTCAAAAAAAATTCAAATATTAGTTCCTTGCCTGGTCAATTTTAATAGTTTTGATGTTCCATAATTAAATCTCGACTAAGTCAGTTTAATATTTAGTAGTATAGTAAATTATCCAACTGTTCAGGTCTTGAATGTGTTGAAAAAATCACTTTTGTATGTAACATTTTAATTAAGACAAAAGTTTAAATTGTGGAAAATTTTGTGTAAAACTTCAATGTAAATCAATTTACATTTACTTTTGGAAAAATGTCTTGTAAGCCTTTAGTAAATTAATAGTTAGATAGTGTGAAAATATTTGAAAATAGTATGTAAGCTGCCTTTTAACAATAATAATATTTTGATAGATAAGAAACCTATATCTGTTAAATCAACGTATGAATAAAAGTGTTTTTTATACAAGGTAATAGAAAGTTTGTAAGTAAAGAAAATTTAGAAACAAAAATTGGTACAAATATTTTATTCACATAATGAAGGTTTGAAAAGTTCTTTTAGAAAGTACATAAAATCTTTAAAACTAGAACATTCAAATATCAATGTATTATGGCCATTAATTTAATTCTATACAAAATATAATCAGTTCAATAAAAAACGCTTTCAACATTTAGTCTTCTTCAGGAAAACGTCGTTTTAAAAATATTGATTTAAATATCTTTTTCGTTTTATATAAAACAAATACTTCTAAGTAGAAAGAGAACCTCTTCTTTACATAATGTATTTATTGAAAATTGTCAAATACCTACATGTACATTAAAATAGAATGCATTGTTGATAATAATATTATAACTTTTAATTGAAGCTGATAAGTGTCAATATGATTTTTGTCTAAGCACCAAAAGGTTGCTTATTGTAATATTTTTGCTCATCTGTTCGTTTATCTCAAAAGAAGTCGGTTGAAACAAAATGGAATACTGAAACCTCTCTCATTATTCTGTCTAAAAATTTAAACATTTTCTAGGTATTCATATATGGACTTTTTCCTGCTGAAAAAATAATTACAAATCTGTCTGTATCATAATTGAAAGCTGTATAATATTGGCCCCTGTCAGATATTAAGAAAAAACATGTCTCCCCTTCTCTTTGTCATAAAATATTGTCTTTGTTATTATGTATTTATTGTATTAAGCTTGTAGCTCATAAGAAATACTCTACGGTCCACACTGGAACTAACGTGTACTGCTGAAATTTGAAGAAACATAGTCTTGACCCCAGTAAAGACACCCCTGGTGGTCCGGTTGCCAGTCGGATGGTTTCCGAAGGATACTCCCTCGGCATCTGGTGCCCTTTGGCTTCTACCCTCTGGACACCGTCCGATATTCTTAAGGTAAAAAAGTTCATTTGCCCCGCGTAATTCGGCCTACACGGTATGCATCGGACAAAAGCCGTGTGATACTAGTATCCGGTCAGCTATCCGGTCCCCCTTGGTTATCCGGGATAATTAACACACGACTTCTATTTCATACAGGGGCAGAAGGGGGTATATAAACATCTCACCATCATCCTCTTCGTAATTGATAGATCCCTATTCTGACATTTTATTTGAATAACAGTACATTTAACAACAAAGATTGATGTGTGCCCTTATGTAAACAAATTTATTATGGTGAAATTCTTACCGTGTCCACTAATGTGATAATTAGAAAGACAGGCTATGAACCTATGCATAGGATGAAATAGTATGAAAAATCTTCCAAGCTTTCATACGCCTGCAACTTGCAGAAGGTCGTAGGCGTCACAATGCTATATTGACTGCATTAATTGTTGAAGAAAAGAGGGTGATGAGACGGTATACTTTTCCCTTCTTTCTTGAAATATATAACACTTTAGAAAGAATATGTTTTTTCTTTAACAAGTTGTTAAATAAAGCGTGAAAAGTCTAAGAAACTTCTCATGAGTGGGAAAAGGCAGAACTGTGAATGAGAGAATGACTGTCACCAGGTCTGTTTACACCCCTACGCTATCCTTAAGGTATCCATCCTGGCACAGGACGGCGTTCATCCGGGACCAGGTCAGTGATTATTTGGAGCCTAGTGTGTGAAAATGGTTACCGGCTTGCAGCCGATTCCAATAGGTGTCCCGCCGGGTATCGGAGTTTTTTTTTAGTTTAATAATATTTTATTGCATATATAAATATACATCAATTCATTTACATTAACAAAATTTCACAATATACAAAAGGGTTGGGCCAAAAGTTTTTACAACATTATCGTGGACCCTTCCCTGTAAATGATTAACATCAGTTTCATAAAGTAAAGAAAGTTATACATTAAAGTAAATATGCATTAAGTAACAATACATTTTCATTTTAAGAAGGGAAGAAAAGAAAACAAGAAAAGAAATGTTGCTGTATCAGTTGTGTGTCGACACTACCACCAACCAATCCCCATCATCAATTGTTAAGCAGATACCCATTTGTTTTAATGAGCAAAAATAACCTAAAGTACTTGTTATAGTTAATTACCATTAAAAACAATGTAGTAACGTTATGTAAACCTCTTTGTTTCTTTGATATAATTTTGAACATGCTGAAATAAGATTTTGTTTTTGAAAAGTCGTTTTAAATTTTCAATGCCAAAGAGTAGCTT